TTCTTCTTCCTCTTCTTCTTCTCCTCCTCTCTTCCTCCTCCTCTTTCTCCTCCTCTTTACCCCTCCTCCCCCTTACCCCCTTCTCTTCCTTCTTCTCCTCTTTCTTCCCTTCCCGGTGGTTGGTAGTGCTAAGGCTTGAACTCAGGCCTGGATGCTGTCCCTGAGCTTTTGTGCTCAAGGCTAGCATTCTATTTGAGCCCCACTTTTGCAATGCAAGCAAGGCAGGCCAGGCCAGCCGGATTAGAACTCTCTGCTCTCTGTGGTGTGGCTCATCTGTGCTTCCTGCCCTCAGTCCTGTCCGGTGTCCTCCTCCCTGAACCCAGTGATCCTACCTACTCTCCTACCGGGCTCCTTTGAATGGCTTTGTGAAGTAGATGCGCCACGGGAGTCTCCGCTGGGATGTTGGCCAGCTCTGTCTGGGACCGCTGGAGGCAGGCCGACTGAAGAAAGGGCTGAGCTCACAGGATGGGGGAGATTCCTAACCATGTGATTATGCAACCAAAGATCAATAAAGATGAATTTGAATTGAAAGATGTTATACACACATACAAGTGGAGGAGAGATGGAGAGATGCAGAAGGAAAGAGGGAGAGGAAAGGAGACAGATACGGGGGAGAGGAAAGAAAGGGAGAGATGAAAGCAGAGTATATATAGAGAAACTGAAAAAAACCTACATTGTTGGGCACTGTTGGCTCACATGTGAGACCTAAGGATCATGGCTCAAAGCAAACCTGCTCAGGAAAGACCATGAGACTCTTATCTCAAATAAACTACTATAGTTTATTGAGATGTAGCTCAAGTGGTACAACACTAGCCTTGAGCAAAAAGAGCTTGGGGACAGCACCCAGTCTCTGAGTTTGAGCCCCGGGATGGCACACACACAGAAACAATACTAATGGGCGAAAACAGAGGTTCCTATTCTTTTGTTTTCTATCATTCTCCTCTGATCAAATAGTACTCTTGTGATTTAACAGTAACCTGTATACAGATGCTCTTTTTTTTTTTTTTTTTTTTTTTGCTGGTCATGGGGCTTGAACTCAGGGTAAGGTTAGTGCTTCTACTACTTGAGCCACAGCACCCCCTTCCCGTTTTCTGAGTGGTTTATTGGAGATAAGAGTCTCACAGACTTCCCTGCCCGAGCGGGCTTTGAACCGTGATCCTCAGATCTCAGCCTCCTGAGTAGCTAGGATGACAGGTGTGAGCCACCGGCGCCCGGCTCAGACGTGGTGCTGTGGCTCAAGTGATAGAGCACTCGCCTTGCGCTGAAGAGCTGAGGGACAGCGCCCAGGCCCTGAGTTCAAGCCCCACAACAGACCAAAAAAGAACAAAAAAAATGAGGTGGCGAGAGCGCCACCGCGTGGCGGCGTGGAGAATTGCTTCACGTTGGGGGGGGGGCGAGGACACGGAGCGCCTGCGCAGTGGCGCTGTGGGCAGAAGGAGCAGGTAGGTGCTGAGCACAAACGCTGCTCCCCGCGCCTCGCGTGCCTGGAGCTCTGCTGGAGCCGGGGCCCGGAAAGGGCTCCGCCAGTCACCCCCGAGGGCTGAGTCGACGCTTCACCTTACCTGCTGCGGCCTACAGGTCTGCGCACTCTCAGTGAGCCCAGGACGCCCAGACGGACCCAGCGCCCACCCCGCTCTCCAGAAGCCCCAGTAGGGCGACGACCGCTAGGCCCGGGCCTAGGGTTCCAGGGCGAGGGGGCTCTAGTCACCTCTGTTGCATTTTGTGGCCATTTGGAGGCGGAAATAATTGCTCGTGCCAGGGGCTGGGAGCCTGGCCTGGCCCCCGACGCCCACCTAGCACAGCACAGCAACTACCACAACCCTGGTCCACCCAGCATCCATCCAAGCCGTCTTCACGGAAGACCCCAGCAATGCCCTCAGCTCCCTGCCCAGCCCAAGGCTCCCTGGGAGCCTCTTCCTGCAGGCTGGCATCTTGACCAAGACCTGTGTCATGCTGGGGCCGGCTGGGAGTGAGCCTCAGTCCTGTTCTGCTGGCCTCACTGAGAAGCAAGTGGGTCCCAGGAGCCATCGAGCAGGACAAGGCTCCCAGAGTAGAGCCCCAGATCCTTCCAGTCACAGACAACCCAGTGGACTGTGGGAAATCTAGGAGACTTGTCATGGGTAGAGAGCTGACCTGGGCCGTGAAGGAGAGGGTAGAAAAGAAAGAACTCAGGGCCTCGGCACCGTCCCTTAGATTTTTCACTCAAGGCCAGTGCTCTACCAAATGGAGCCACACCTCCATTTCCAGCTTTTTGCTGTTCATTGGAGAGAAGGGTCTCCTATGTTAACTTTGACCCACCATCCTTAGATCTCAGCCTCCTGAGTAGCTAGGATTGCACACATGAGCTGCTGGCGTTTGTTTGAAACCTGCTGTGGTTGTTTGTTTGTTTGTTTGTTTTTTGGTCGGTTGTGGGGCTTGAACTCTGGGCCTGGGCGCTGTCCCTCAGATCTTCAGCTCAAGGCGAGTGCTCTACCACTTGAGCCACAGCACCACTCCCACCTGCTGTGGTTTGAAGACAGATATCCTTCCAAAGTTCACGTTGGGACGTACAAGAACGTGGAAGAGATGAGGCCTCTGGTGGTTGAATCAGTGCCCTCATACGGGGACTGAGGCAGTGAGCCCGCATCTCTGCCTGTCTGTCTCTTCTGCCTTGTAAAGACACAGTCTTAGCCCTCCTTTACACCCCAACATGTGATGACCCAGTAAGCAATGGAGGAAAAAAGAGACCTTTGCCCAGACACCAAATCTGCCAGCACATTGATTTCTGACTGTAACCTCTAGAACTGTGAGTGATAACCACTCATGGTTTATAAATGAGCTGGTCTCTGTTACATAGTTATAGAGCAAGAGTGGAATAAGACCCCCCACCCCCACCCCCCGCCGCCAGCTCCTTGTCCCAACAGGTGCTCAGTGGATGTGTAGTATGTAAGAGAGGGAGGAGGGAAGAGGGGAGGACTTGGTGCAAGAGAGCTGTCCAGGAGGAACTACTGCCCAGTGAATGAGAGAAAAGTGAATCAATGAATTAATGAGTGGGTGAACAGGTACTGTGTCTTTCACCTGTAATCCCAGATATCAGAAGGCTAAGATCCAGATGACAGCCAGCCCAGGTTTGGGGAGTGAAGGCAAGAGAGGCAGTCCAGAAGACTCCATCTCCAATTAAGTAGCAAAAAGCTGCATTGGCATGAATCAATTATTAGAAACCAGCCAAGCGAGTGGAGCAAGAATAAGGCACTGTTAGGGATCAGTGGCTTATGCCTGTCATCCTAACTACTCAAGAGGCTAAGATCTCCAATACCAAAAGTCTGGAAATGGAGCTGTGGCTCAAGTGGTAGAGTGCCAACCTTGAACAAAAAAAGCTAAGGGATAGTGCCCAGGCCTTGAGTTCAAGTCCCAGGACCAACACACACACACACACACACACACACACACACACACACACACACACACACCAATGAAACTTTGAGTTGAAACCCCAGTGCTGGCAAATAAAACAGAACAAAATAAAATAATAAAATAAGGCTCAGCAGGGAGTGTCCTGCTGATGATGTGTATCTAATGAAGCAAGAGCACAAAGGATTTGTCCAGGTTGGGAAAATTTAGAAAAATGTTCTTATATATTACTAAAATTGTCTGCATCACCCAGAGACTATTTAGGATGTTTCTTTGCATCTCTTCTGGTCTGGCCAAGAAGAAAGGCTGAGGCCGAGGCTGACGTCCACCTGCCCGTGGTGGACAGTGGGGACCCCAGCGCCGTGCCCACGCATCTCCTGGAACTTCTCTCCCAGCCCCCAATGAGGGCTCCAGGGCTGGGCAGAAAGGCCTCACCTGAAACACCCTTCTTTCCACTTTGAACCTTGGACTTGCAGTTTAAATCGAGGCTTCCTGTCGCCAAGTCTGTTTTCTTTATGAGGGACATGTAATCTCTCTAGTGCTGGCTGGAAAAGCATGCAAATCAGCTAACAGTGCTATTCTGTGGCATTCTCCCTTTATGCAAAACCTCCTGAAATAAATCAGTCTTCCAAAGAGGGAGGGCAGAGCAGGAAGGAGATGTGGGACCAGGGGATGGGGCATGGGGTGCCAAGCGTGTGGGTTGGGGGGGGACCCCTGAGGCCCCCTCACTGGACTTGCTGTCTCCTCTGTTGCCACCAGAGGGCAGCACGTGCTGGCCCTGGGACCCCACGCTCAATCTGGACAAGGGCTCCCTGTGGTCCAGAGTCCATGGCCCCCAAACTCACTCCCATACCTCCACTGCTCCAGCCTGTCTGCAGGCCATGGTTTTCTAGTGGTTCCTGGATTACCTTGCCCAGTGCCTATTTGCAAATAAACATTTTACACTTTCCTGGACGACATCCAAAGACGGGTCGGTATGGGATCCCCATACCACCAGACCCTAAGGCCAGAACGCTGAAGGGAAAGAGAAGGAAGAGATGGAGGGAGAGAAGAGGGGACAAAAAAGGAGGGCGCAGGAGAAGAGAGAAGAGAAAGTGGGGGGGGAACAGATGAAAAGAAAGAGCAAATGAGAAAGGAAAAAAGAAAAAGGAAACCACATTTTAAAAGTTATGCCACTCTATACCAAGGCAAGAATTGTTAAGTAAATGCTTTCACTTTTTTTTTAAACCTTCTAACTTGATCTTTCCTTCCTTTCCATCCAGATGTTGTGCTGGGGAAAGTTCTGTCTGCGAACTGAGGGTTAGCAATGAACAGCCAGCGGTTTCACTCCTGGGAGGTTTTGATAAGCAAATGGGCCCCTGGCTCGCGCACGCTCCCCATTGGTTCCTGCTTCGCCGCCAGATTTTGACACAAATAATCAGATTGAAAATCAGGGAGGGAAACAGAAGAGGAAAACACACACACGCACACACAACAGAGAAAAAAAGGAGAAGTATCTATTTGTGCAGAGAATCACCAAGCTGACGGAGTGGAGACAGTGCCCAGGGCCAGCCTCCCAGGTTCCCAGAGCAGCCAGCCCTCCCCAGAAGCCCGGAGTCAGGAGGGCACAGCTCCGCCCGGCAGGTGAGTGAGAGAGAGGGGTGTCTGATCCTCTCTTGAAATTTGCTTATCTGGCTGAGACCCTGGCTGGGCCAGACACCTCTTTCCTTTGGAACTGAGAGGAAGACTAAGGTGGGTGGAAGAAGGTCTTTTCTGGGTTGATGGGTCTTTCTTCGAGCCTTGGAATGAGGACAGGGTTTTATCTAGGCGCCCTGTGTTTCCCCTGAAAATTTTCAAAAGTTCATTTTAAGCGGTCACACTTCGTCCACAGGCACAAAGTCACACCCGCACCCCAGAGCTCCCAGTGCAAGCCACAACACGGGTCCAGGCACTGAGGTGGGGGGTCTTCTCTGAAGAAATGTTGAGCCCCAATGTCCCTTGGTCTCAAAAGTTCCCAGGACCCTTGAGAATCCAGGACCCTCTGGAGCCCGCTGAGGGGCCAGGACACAGTGACCCCAGGCTCCAGGCACAGCGGGGCGGCTGGGGGAGGCACGATCTGAGTCTCTTCTCCTGGAATTATGGTTCATGCCTTGTCTATCTGTTTCTGGAGAAGCCAAGTTCAGGTGTCAGGTGGCTCACTGGCCACCGGCTGGCGGTGTGTGCCTGGGATCACTGCCCTAGAGAAAGTTCACAGCTTTATCCCCTGGCAGGGATCACACGAAAGGACCATTTCGGGCTGTGGGGCTGGCAACTGCTCACTGAGCTGCACCTGCTCACGCGGGGGGTTCTTAGCAGGCAACAAAATATGTCCTCATCTCATGATATGGTGAGGTTACTTGTTCTTAGAGGTCTTGCAAAAGCAATTCACCCTTTCTTTCTTTTTTTCCTTCCTTCCTTTCTTCTCTTTCTTTCTTTCTTTCTTTCTTTCCTTCCTTCCTTCCTTCTTTCTCTTTTTCTTTCTCTCCTTCCTTCCTTCTTCACCCCCTTCTTTCTCCCCCACCCTCCACCCTCCTTTTTCCTTTCCATCCTTTTGGGGTTTTTTTTGGTACCAGAGTTTGAGCTCAGAGCCTCATGCTTACTTGAACATGCACTCTACCACTTGAGCCATGCCCCAGCCCTTAGAAGCAATTGTTTTTTTTTTGGGTCCGGTTGTGGGGCCTGAACTCTGGGCCTGGGTGCTGTCCCTCAGCTCTTCAGCTCAAGGCTAGCACTCTACCACCTGAGCCACAGCGCCACTTCCAGCTTTTTTTTTTTTCTGCTTATGTGGTGCTGAGGACCCGAACCCAGGGCCTCAAGCATGCAAGGCAAGCGCTCTACCACTGAGCCACCTTCCCAGCCCCCCTTAGAAGCAATTGTTGTGATGAGAAGATACACAGTTCCTCTAACTCTCAGATTTGGGGAGCAGTATACTGCTGCTTCTCCTGAAGAAAGTTCTTGGAGGAAAATGTCCGAGAGCTGGGCATGATGCAGGTTTGAACCTGCACCTTTAGAGTCTCTCACAGGGGGCAGACTGGTTTCCCTTGGCTCCCAGGAAGACAGGATCCGATGTGTAAGGCCTTACCTACTAGACAATTATGGGACCAGATAGCCACAGATCACTCTCTCTCTCTCTCTCTCTCACACACACACACACACACACACACACACACACACACATCTGGGGGCTGAATGCAGGGCCTTGCACGTTCTAGACATACACTAACACTGAGCCACCTCCCTATATCCCTGTCCTCTTTCAGGGATCACAGTTTTGCTATGATGACCAGGCTGGTCTTGAACTCTTGCTCTTAAATGATCTTTCAGCCTCAGAATCCCCAGTAGCTGAGACTACAGACAGGTGCTAACATGCTTCCCAGAGCTGTAAAACGAAAACTCTCCTAACACTTAAACTCTGAACCTGTTAACCAGTACCTCTCTACATTCCCACTCCAGCCCCTGGTGACGTCTAATCGACCACAATCCGTGGGTTCACCAATAAATATTCCCCTTGATCTGCCCTTCTGTGACTGGCTTATTGTGCTTAGTGAAACATTCTCAACATTCATCACTTCCCAAGTGTCAGATTTCCTTCTTTTGTAAGGCTGAGTAGTATCCCCCCGAATGGTCTGAGATTTTGCTCCTCCGTTTGCCTGTGGCTAGACCTTGGGTTGTTTCTTGCCCTCTGTGAATTAAGCCTCTCTGATTGTGAGTGTACAAATGTCTCCCTGACACCCAGTTCTCAGAAGATAATCCACCAAGTTCAGACATTAAGTTCTCTGCGGGCGGGCATGACCTGGACTCCCCTGAGTGTGATTCCTGTGTGGAACTGCTCTGTGGTTTATTTGTCTTTGTACATAAAGGAAGTCCAAAGGGTGCCTCGTAGCTACCGTGGGATCCCCACCCGTTCCGAAGAAGGGGATGCTGGTGCCGATCACCCATCACCGTGGCTCCGTCCTTCGCACAGTCAACGGATCATACACAGGCTTTTAAAGCAAAAGGGAAGTTTAGAAATCTCTTAGCCCAACCGTCTCTTGAGAGATAGGAAAACCAAACCCAGGCCCGGTGGGCCATGAGGTCACAAGCTCAACGTCACAAAATCGGACTCATCCCCAAGGGGAGGACTCTCCTTCTGGCTGATTTGCCTCCACCTGAAGCTGGGGTTCAGGACGCTGCCTGGGTGCTGGCTGCGCCCCTCCGGGAGGCAGTAGTGGAGATTCTGAGTCTGAGTCCAGGACCCTGTGGATGGAGGGTAACACGAGGCTTCCTTCCGGAGCCCCGATATCATCAACGCCTCTGTTTTATGAAGAAATCCGGGGTTTCTTTCACAATCTCTGCCCTTAGTGCTCAGCATGGGTCCGTGTGAATCAAAACTGGTGGTTGTTAATTAACTCCATTATGGGTGATTGGTTCCTGTTTTTTTTTTAATTCTCCTTCTTGTTCTCTTTCTTCTTTACATTGAGCTCACAAGGGCCAAAAGGAAGTAGTTCACTGGGCATGTGTGGCTTCTACTGTGGGCTTGGGGGGGGGAGGGGGCGCGGGGGCTAGGCATGGGGTCCCTGCCACTCTGTGAGACTTAGGAGAGAGAATACCAGAGAGAGAAGAGATGGGGCTCCGCAGAACCCCTAGAGCAGAACCCCTCATCCATCGGGGGAACCAAGGAACGGAAGCCCCCTGTTCCCCGTGCCCGGCATGGCTGATGAAGGCCACGGCCATTGTGCTGTGGTCCCAGTTCCCCAGGGAGCTGGCGGGCCCAAGGGCGGAAGGTCAATACAGAATCTCTTCCTTACCTGCCCTCTGCCTGCAGCCCTCCAGACCTGACACGAAGTCTTGGGGCATCTGGAAAGACTTGAGCACTGCACAAATCTGAGTATTCTGCCTTGCAACCCGGTCTTTTTTTTCTGGTCCTTGTTTTGTTTATGTGCCGTTCACAGGGCTGGAATTTAGGATTTGGCTTGGTGTTTTTCCTTCAAAGCCCACGGGCTACCACTTCAGCCACACCTTGACTTCTGACTTCACAATAAAAGTCTCACAAACTTTCCTGCCCGGGCTGGCTTCAAACTGGGATCCTCAGCGCTCAGCCTCCTGAGTAGCTGGGATTATGGGTGTGAGCCACAATGGCTGGCTTCAGCTCCCAGTCTTCCACTCCTTCCACAGCTCTGCCAGTGCTTCTGGAGGACCACCAGTGACTCTGGGAGCAGTGGGCCAGGAGTTAGAACCGAATGGGACAGGGGCTGTAACCCTGCAATGACACTGTCCTGTCTGTCGGCCTCCTACGTTCAGCCCAGAAAGACTCCCCACTTCCCCAGCTGAGGCTCACAACACGATGCCCTCCAGGGAGCCGTAATCACTACCCAGTTTCCCTCTGTGGTCTGTAGCTCCAGAGAGAAGCCCGTGAAGGGCACTACACAGCCCTTGGCACACAGCATTGAAGACATGCCCATGCTATGGTCTGACAGTCAAAGAGGGCAGAGGCAGGGACTAGAGCCCTGCCCTGCCCTGCTCCCCCTGGGAGTCCTGAGCTCCTCGCATGAAATGATGGGGCAGGCCACAGAACCAAGGTCCAGGGGAAACCCAGTTCCACCTTAATTTATGGGGCTCCCCTCCCCTCCAGCTAGGGTCTGGTCTCTCTAGAGTCTTTCCTGAAGCCAAGTGTCTGATGAGTTCAGAGGAAGAGAGGAGAGGAGAAGGGGGCCTGGCTGCAGGGGAGAGGCAGGAGCAGAAGGACATGTCCAAGGAAGATAAAGTTGTTGGGCTGCAGGCCCTGCCTGCCTGCCTCCCGGGAAGGAAGCTCTGCTCAGAGAGCTGAGAGGGGCCGGGGAGAGGCCGAGGCTCCCAGCTCCTCCTAGACATGGAGAGTAGGGCGGCCTTGAACTCGGCCTTGAACTCCTGCAGACCACTGTCACTCCTGGCCCATCCTCTTCAAGGCACACGGATGCCACCACCCAGGAGCCTCCCACGGCTGTGACACTCAAAGGGCTTTTCTTGCTCCTGACATTGAACTTTGACCCCTTACTTAGCAGATCTTGACAAGGACCGATTGGCAGGGGCAGGCTCCACACCACCAAGGTGCTGTCCAAACTCTCAGTGGGGCTCTAGGCTAGGGAGTGTGGGGGGGGGGCTCTCTCTTCTGCTTGGCTCTAGGGCATCCCCCTGGGCAGAGGGGCATCCCCTGTGCTCTCTCCCCAAGCAAGGCTGAGCTCTCAGCTGCTTCTTCTAATCTCTTACCTCCCATCCAGCTCTGGGCCAAGGCCTTATCACCCAGCCCCTCGCTGTTATTCACTGGCAGCTGAAATCCTTTCCCGCCTTCTGGGTCCTATCCTGACTGCAGCCTAGCATGGCAGCTGCGGGGGGGGGGGGCAGCAGGAGCGTCCTCCCTGGCCTCTGCCTGGGCAGGACGTCTGAGCGTGGTGGACAGTGGACCCTGGAAGGCATTCTGCCTCCGGAGAGCTTCACAGTGTGGGGCGGGGGTGTGAGGGTGTGAGGATTGGCAAGGGAGGACAGCTGCCGCCAGGAACTCTACCCTCGACCTGGGCAGGTCCTTGAACCAGTTTGGTCCTCCATGTTGGCTCCCAGCCCCGTCACATGGGGGTTAAGTGGTGGTGCCAGGCTGGACCACCCGTGAGTTGGATCTGGGAGCCGGTGGATGTTCAGGTCTTCCTGTGTCCACAGTGAGATGCCAGGTCTGGGGTGGGGGGTCCTCTCAGGCCTCCCTCCACTCCTCTGAGAGAGAAGGTCCCTCCCCTCTCTGGATCCTGGATCAGCCTCTAGACTGCCCAGTAATGCAGTTCTGCCACCCCTGCCCTCTAGGTGGCTGCAAGCCTTCTGTCAGACTGCCTTGTACTAAGGGACTAGAATGTTCTTCTCAGCACAGCAGGGCCAGACATCAGACCCTATAGAAAAAGAAATGGGCCAGGTGCTGGTGGCTTATGCCTGTCATCCTAGCCACTCAGGAGGCTGAGGATCGCAGTTCAAAGCCAGCCTGGGGAGGAAAGTCCGTGAAACTCTTATCTCCAACTAACCACCAAAAAGCTGGAGGTGGAGCTGTGGCTCAAAAAGCTAAGAGGGGGACTGGGAAGGTGGCTCAGTGGTAGAGTGCTTGCCTAGCATACATGAGGCCCTGGGTTCGATTCCTCAGTACCACATACACAGAAAAAGCCAGAAGTGGTGCTGTGGCTCAAGGGGTAGAGTGCTAACCTTGAGCAAAAAGAAGTTCAGGGACAGTGTCCAGGCCTGAGTTCAGGACTAGGGGGAGGGAAAAAAAGCTAAGAGAGGGGCTGGGAATGTGGCTTAATGGTAGAGTGCTTGCCTAGTATGCATGAATCAAACCCTGGGTTCGATTCCTCAGTACCACATAAACAGAAAAAGCCAGAAGTGTGGGCGCTGGTGGCTCACATCCATAATCCTAGCTACTTAGGAGGCTGAGATCTGAGGATCGCAGTTCAAAGCCAGCCCCCTCAGGAAAGGCCATGAGACTATCTCCAATAAACCACCAGAAAACAGAAGTGGCATTGTGGCTCAAGTGGTAAAGCGCTTGCCTTGAGCTGAAGAGCCCAGGGACAGTGCCCAGGCCCAGAGTTCAAGCCCTACAACCAATTAAAAAAAAAAAGAAAGGAAAGGAAAGAAAAGAAAAAGCCAGAAGTGGCGCTGTGGCTCAAGTGGTAGAGTGCTAGCCTTGAGCAAAAGCAGCTCAGGGACAGTGCCCAGGCTCTGAGTTCAAGTCCCAGGACTGGCAAAAAAAAAAGAAAGACAGAAAGAAAAAAAGAGAGAAAGAACAAAAGAGTTAAGAGACAGTGTTCAGTCCCTGAATTCAAGCCCCAGTACCCCAGTACCCCAGAGAGAGAGAGAGAGAAAGGAGAGGGGGAAAGAGAGGGAGGGAAGGAGGGGAGAGGGAGGGGGGGTCTAGAGAGGTTAAGATCTGCCCCCCAGATTGCAGTGAGCTGGGTTTTGCCTGTGCCCTTGTGATCCAAACCTAAGCTCAGACCACTTCTTTCTGCAGCCCCCAACACTGGATGGCTCTGGTGCTCAAAGTCAGGGTTCCAGCAGCGGGCTGCGTGCAGACCCCTGCCCCTGCCCTGCCTCCCCTGCCCAGACCCAAGTTCGCCCTCTCCCAGGGAGCAGGACAGGCTCTGTAGCTGGGGTAATTAATACAGTTCACACACTGGGCAGTGTGAAACCCACAGAAATAAATCCCTCTATAGTTCTTGGGTCTACAAGTCCAGAAACCAAGTGCAGGCATGGTTGGCCCCAGGCAGAAGCTGCAAGGAGACCTCCCACGCCTCTCCAGCTCCCGATGTCAGACGCCCTCCTCAGCACCATTGGCTCGTAGACCTTCAAAAAGTGTGGTGGAGCTGGTACTGAGATTTGAACTCGGGGCCTGAGTGCTTTTTTGCTCAAGGTGAAAAACTGCTTGAGCCAAGCTCCACTTCCAGCCTTTTGGTGGCTAATGAGAGCTAAGAGTCTCAGGTGCGTGTTCTGCCCAGCCTGGCTTTGAATCTCAACTTCCTGCGTAAGCAGCCAGGACTCCAGGCGTGAGCGACTGCATGGGTGAAGGGTGTCTGTGCTGCCACGTGGCGTTTTCCCTGGGGTGTCTGTGACCTTCTGTCCACGTTTCCCTCTTCTAGCAAGGACACTGGTCATGCTGAGTTTCAGCCCCCGTCTCAGCCCATGCCACCACATCTTGACTTGGTTACATTAAAAAGAAAAGAACAAAAAGCTGTTTCCCATAAAGTCACATTCTCAGGTTCAGGTGGGACTAGTTTCTCTTCTTTCTTGTTTGTGGTGCTGTGGTTTGAACTCAGGGCCTTGTGCTTGCTAGGCAGGCGCTCTACTACTTGTGCTATACACCTAAACTCCTATTGCAAGTGACCTTTAAGGAAAACTATGCAACCCAGTGCAGCAGGTGTTTAATTTCTGCAGGGGCTCTAAAATCCCAAGGACTTGTGTCTTTTGTTCCTCAAGGCCATTTCCAGTCCTCTTGCCTTGCAGGTGTGAGGCCAGCATTGAAGATGCCACGTTCCTTCCTGGTGAAGAGCAAGAAGGCTCACACCTACCACCAGCCCCGCACGCCCGAGGATGACCCGGTCTGGCCTGCTGCTGTTGCCCCTGGTAGGTCTGGGCACCGCCTGGTGAGGCTGGGCACCTCTGTGCCTGCCCATCTCCCTCTCTCCTCTGAAACACCCTTTCCATGTCTGGAATCAACAGGTCAGGCAAACAGGTTGAATGAATGAATGAATGAATGATGCAGTCATCTCTCACCCTCTCGAGGGCTGGCAGCATGGGGATTGGCGCCAGTACTGTGGCATGTGTGAACATCTGAGGGCAGACAATGGAGACTGGGTTCCTTGGGCCTCCCTCCCTGCCTCCCACCCTGGGGGGAGGGTCCAGACACACACACACACACACACACACACACACACACGCTCCCGAGAAGACACGGCCCTCGCTCTCTGTGGCTCCCTGCAGCCTACCTGGTCACACCCTGGTCACATTAGGGTCTCTCTCTCCACAGTGGCCAGGGACCAGGCCCCCAGCGGCGGCCCCGCCCTCAGCACCCTGCTCCCCCGCCAGCACCTGGACTGGAGCATCGTCAAGCTGGAGTCAGAGCTGAAGCTGGACCAGGGTTTGACCAAGATGGCCTCGGCGCCAGGTCACTAGGCAGGGCCCCTCCTCTTGGGTGTGCCAAGGGGTCAAGAGGGAGTAGATTGTGGGGACAGGGCCTCTTCCAGTCTTGGGGTCAGGGAAGACTGACAGGGTCAGCCGGATGCCACTGGCTCTTGCCTTCTGGACATTGTCCCTTAGCCTTTTCCATTTAAGGCTGGCACTGTCTCCCCCGGAGCCACAGCTCCATTGCTAGCTTTTTGGTGTTTAAGTGGAGATGTCTCACGGGCTTTGCTGCCTGGCTGGCTTCAAACCTTGACTCTCAGATCTCAGGCTCCTGGGTAGCTGGGATTGCAGGCGTGAGCTCCGGTGCCTTGCCTGACCATCTTGGAGGCCCCGGAGCAGGTTGTTGGCTCCCGGATAGAGTGTTCTGGCCAGCAGCCGTGAGGGGTGTGTCCTGGGGGGGACAGCATGGGGGGAACTTTGAGCCTCGGAGAGTGGAGGGTATAGTCACCCCCTCAGCAATGAACACTGGGCTTACCCTGAAACCCTCAGAGAGAGGCTGCTGCGGTGGTCCGTGGCCAGTGGAGGGCATGGGCTCTGTTCTATGTTTTGAATGACTCTTGGGCCTTGTGTCCTTGTCTCCACAGAGAAGCCCACCGCGGCGTCCCAACCCCAGGATGGGAACTCGCCCCATGCAGAGTCACCCCCTTTCTACAAGCCTAGCTTCTCCTGGGATACCCTGGCCTCCACCTATGGCCACAGCTACCAGCAAACCCCCTCCACCATGCAGTCAGCCTTCCTGGAGCACTCTGTCCATCTGTACGGCAGCCCCCTGGTGCCCAGCACGGAGCCCCCCTTGGACTTCAGCCTCCGCTTCTCCCCGGGCATGGACGCGTACCACTGTGTCAAGTGCAACAAGGTAAGAAGTCGTGCAGACCCAGCCCTGCAGCCCCTCCAGGCCCCCACGGCTGCAGGGGGTCCCTGTGGGGAATTTAGGATTGCAATGTCAGAATATTGGTCTTCATTAATCAAGCCCTGACTGTGCCCAGCCTGAGCTCTGGGAGCTCCATGTGTGTGTGTGTGTGGGGGTGGAGCTCAGGTTCAGAGAGAACAGTCACCTGCCCAACATCTTGGCAAGGAGGCTGGAGCTGGCACAGCGGCTCACACCTGTCATCCTAGCTCCTCAGGAGGCTGAGATCTGAGGACTGCAATTGGAAGCCCACAGGGTAAAAAAGTCTGTGAGACTCTCATCTCCAATGTAACCCCAGAAGACAGAAGTGAAGCTGTGGCTCAAGTGGTAGAGTGCTAGCCTTGAGCACAACAGCTAAGAGACAACGCCTAGACTCTCAGTTCAAGGCTCACATCAGCACACACACACACACACACACACACACACACACAGACTCTGGTTGCTCAACACTTGGCAGTCTCTAGGTGGGGCAAGGAAGGGGTCCCCCAGCCCCCCCACCCAGACCCCATATTATAGCTAGGAAACTGGGTCTTAAAGAGAGTAAAAAATCATGAGCCATGGGCAACAGAACTGGCCAGTGCCCCGGGGGGTGGGGGGGGCACGCGTGTGCAGAGCTGGCCTGGGGCGGGGGGGGGGGGGGCTGGCCGGGGACCTGCTACCTGCCGCAGCGGCCTCACAAGTGGCCCCCGCCCAGGTTTTCTCCACCCCACACGGGCTGGAAGTGCACGCGCGCCGCTCCCACAGCGGGACCCGGCCCTTTGCCTGTGACGTCTGCGGCAAAACCTTTGGCCACGCCGTGAGTCTGGAGCAGCACGCACACGTCCACTCCCAGGTGAGCGCTCCGACTGGCCTCTCTGCTGTCCACCCACCAACGCTTGTGAGGCTTATTTTGAAAAGTATCCGCGTGAGGGTCTAAGGTCAGAGCCCAGCCTCAGTCCAGGCTGGGAGGTGGGAGGCGGGGGCGACCCCAGGGCCTGCTCCCCCAGGCCCCTCCCCAGTGCAGCGTCCTCTTCCTCAGGGCACCCCGGCCGGGTCCAGTCCTGCGCCCAGCCTCGAGCCCCCGCCGGCACCTGACCCCCCGGGGCCGCGTTTCCTCCGGCAGGAGCGCAGCTTCCAGTGCCGGATGTGCGGCAAGGCCTTCAAGCGCTCGTCCACCCTGTCCACCCACCTGCTCATCCACTCCGACACGCGGCCCTACCCCTGCCAGTTCTGCGGGAAGCGCTTCCACCAGAAGTCGGACATGAAGAAGCACACCTACATCCACACCGGTGAGTGTGCCCGGCCCGGCCGCCCACTGGCCTCCCGGCTAGACTGGGCTGGAGTCCCCAAGACGAAGGCTGCAGGCTGCTGGGCAGATGTGCAGGGCGCAGGAAGGGACCCAGAGTCCTGGAGGCATGGCCGGGAGGCAGAACGGGAAAGGCAGTGAGCTGCTCATTCAGTCACCCGCTGATGAATGAATGATGCTGTCCATTAGTGTGCTCGGGTGTGTGCAAGTGTGTCCTGACGGTCTAGAAAGATGGGGCACCCCAAGGGACAAGGACTCCACTCACTCATTCATTCACTCACTCACTCAGTCATCAATCCCCTCGCCACCTTCTTCATTCACTTGCTCATCTACTTATTCCTTCATTCACTCATCACCTTACCCACTCACTCACTCATTCATTCACTCATTTACTAGTTGTCAACTCCTCCACTCATTCATCTAATCATACATTCATTCACTCATTACTTTCTTCACTGACTCAGGCATTCCCTTGCTCCTTTATTCATTCACTCATTCCTTCATGCACACATTTATTCTCACACTCATTCACTCATTCATAGTGATCTGCACAGTCAATTATTCAGCCACTTATACAGTTATTCAGTGGCACCTGCTATTAACCAGGTACCTCTTTTGAGCCAGGTCCTGTGCCACCCATGGAGACTTATTAATAAAACAAGGGGAAAAGCTGGGCATCAGTGGCTCATGCCTATAATCTTAGCTACTCGGGAGGCTGAGATCTGAGAGGATCATGGCTCAAAGCCAGCCTGGGCAGGAAAATCCCTGAGACTCTTATCGCCAATAAACCACTAGAAAACTGGAAGTGGTGCTGTAGCTCAAGCAGTAGAGCGCTCGCCTTGAGCTGAAGAGCTGAGGGACAGCACCCAGGCCCAGAGTTCAAGCCCCACGACTGACAAAAAAAAAAAAACAAAAACAAAAAACAAGGGGAGAGGTGGCTTATCTATATGTTAACCAGCCTGGAAGCCAGAGAGAAGTGTACCTTTGCTTCTCGCTCTTTTCTCATTTTCTAAGGTGCACCTGGGTAGGTAATCAAGTTGTAGGGGGTGCTGTGGGTGGGGCCCTACCACCCTGACCCCGCCCTGCTGTGCTGCCCGCTGGTCACAGGTGAGAAGCCACACAAATGCCAGGTGTGCGGGAAGGCCTTCAGCCAGAGCTCCAACCTCATCACCCACAGCCGCAAGCACACGGGCTTCAAGCCCTTCAGCTGTGAGCTGTGCGCCAAGGGCTTCCAGCGCAAGGTGGACCTGCGGCGACACCGCGAGAGCCAGCACAGCCTCAAGTGAGGCGGGGCTGCCGCACCTGTCCCCCAAGGCCCGCCTCCAGCTGCCAGACCCCCAATCGCACGGAGGAGGCCGTCCTTCTTGGGATCCACGAGGGAGGGGCGTGGCTGCGGTCTATTAGAGGCAGAGTGGTCCACAGGGGTGCTCAGTGTCTCTCTAGGATGGAGCATCCCAGGGGGACAGAGTTGTCAAAAGCCCAGAGCTTGGACTCACAAAGAAGCCCTTCTCCTGCCTACTCCACGGGGGCCTGGTCACCTTTGATTTTAGGTGTCCTAACTTCTGTGTCTGGCTGCCACAGGCAATCAGAGCTGCCTTCCCTCCCTCCCCCCAGCTGGAGATGTGGACCCCTGTGCTTCAGCCAGCCTCCCTCTCCCCAGTGCTCACTGGCCGCTGAGATTCAGGTTGTCTCAGGGTTGGGAAAGCAGCAGTTATTACTGTAGAGCCTGCTGTAAATAAAGATAAAGACAGATTTGTTTGTGTGTGACTTGAATTTATGAAGCACCTACTAGGTCCAAAGGCCAGCAGGAAGCTTTGAGGAGAGAGCTAGAGGGGACCTTGGACAAGCACGGAGAGAGAGGGGGCAGGGAACCGAGTTAGATGGGGAGCCCTGCACAAACAAGCACAGAGGAGGGCTGAGATGGGCTGGTCGGTCGTAAGGAGCCAGAGTGACAGGGTAGAAGGTGGGGCTGGGCTGCTGGCGGCTGTATCAGTCCCTTGCAGCTGCTATAACAAATCACGCAAATGACCATCATGGCACTCACAATTCCACGGGAAGATCCCACAGTGAATCTTCCCGGGCAAAACTGGGCCTGGCAGGCTCAGGGCAGCTCCTGCCTGCCCACCATCTGCACTGGCATGGCTGACCCCTGCTCTGCCTGCCACCTCCTCCGCCTCCTCTCATAAGGACTCTGTCACCTGGCTCTACCTGGTAATGCAGGACAACTGTCCCTGCTCAAGGCCAGAGTGTCATCACTCACGCCCCCACCCCCGGAGTGTGACCCCTGCCACCGTCAATGACAAAAGGGAGTAAGTTGTGACTAAGGCTTGGTGATGCATCTTCCCAGCTGTGTGACTTCTGGCGGCCTCCCCCTCCCCTTCCCCCCTCCTCTGTAAACCCAACAGCCTCTTCCTGGTAGAGCTGGGCATTGCTGGAAGGACTTCCCAAGACCACATGTGGAAAGCAGTGTGCAGGACCAGCCGCCACGGGTGTGGCCACATCATGGGTGTCTTTACTTGAAGTCCTGCCCCTGGCACATGGTGACTCAAAGCTACCTCCTCCAGGAAGCCTCCCTTGGTAATCCCAGCCATTGGCGCCTCTCCCCCTCGGACCCTCGGCCCTGGGCCATGGATGGCGGTGGTCAGCAGAGCGCCTGCGCCTGGGGAGAAGGTGGCGTCTCTGGGCTTTGGGCCCTGACTGAGGCCCTTGCAGGTGCTGAGCTCACCAAGGGTTCCCACTCAAAGCCTCTCCCCTGCTCCACAACTGAAGCCCAGAGAGGCCAGGAAAGAATATAGCTGGCTGTGGTGGCGCGTGCCGGTAATCAGCGAGGAGGATGAGGCAGGAAGATCATGAGTTGGAGACCAGCCTGGGCTACACCTCTTGCCAGACACCTAGCTACTCAGGAGGCTGAGATCTGAGGATCATGGTTCAAAGCCAGCATGGGCAGAAAGTCCCTGAGACTCTCATCTCCAATAAACCATTCAGAAAACCACAAGTGGCTCTATGGCTCTGGTGGTAGAGTGCTCACCTTGAGCTGAAGAGCTCAGGGACAGTGCCCAGGCCCAGAGTTCAAACCCCACGACTGACAAAAAAAAAAAAAAAAAAGAATATGAACATCAGCGGTTACCCTTGCCCAGGGAGGGGAGGACATTTTCAAAAGCAACTTCACTGCCAGAGAAAGCCTCACAGCTCAGTGCTAGGACTGGGTTCGATCCCCAGAACCACAGAGCTGAACAATAACAACAGAACCCCAGAGCAGCCCACTGTGGCAGCCGCCTCCTCTGTAGGCTGTTTTAACCTGGGGCTTGTGTGCCACCTTGCTTGGCACTGTCCGATTCCCTGCTCACTCTTTGAGGCCCCTCCTATCAAGGAACGGCCCGCAGTGCCAGGCCCAGGCGAGGGCTGTGGCCAGCTCTGGCAGGCCTTCCTGTCCCGGGCCAGCCAGTGCCACCCCCCAGGTCATGTCACTGTTCACAGAGGGCATCGGGACAGGGGGGTCCCATGCGCCTTCAAAAGCAACGTGCCTCAAGGGAGCAAAGCGTAGTGGGCAGATAGGGAGTCTCAGGGTTAGATCTAAGTGCTCTCAGAGTGTCCACCTCCAAGTGAAAGGGCAGGGGGGAGGGGGAGGGGAGGAGGAGGAGGGGAGAAGGACGAAGGGAGAAGTTGAGCTGGATTTCCTAACATTTGATTGAGAGTGGGGAGGGTGAGGGAGAGACAGAGAGGGAGGGAGGGTATGAAGGACGAAGGGCTGGAGAAAGGGGAGAGGAGGGAAAGGGGAAAGGGAGAAGGAAAGAGAGAGACAATCATCAACCAGCTTCCCAAGGTCACACAGAGGGCAAATCAGAATTGGGGTGAGGATTAGATTCTGAGTCAAAACTGTTTCCTTCAGGCCTCAGTTTACCTCCTGCCCACTGAGGCCCATGGGCGTTTCCTCTGGTTATGTCTTCTGGAGGGGTCTCTGGCTCTGGGGCTGAGGCTGGCATCCAGCCTGACCCTGGTGGACTGTGCGGTAGAGGGGCTTCCTGTTCTGGCCGAATACTCAAACCAGCCTGTCAGGGGCGCAGGCAGCTGTCAGGAGGGGTGTCCTGCAGGCTGGCTCTGTCCATCCATCTCCTTCCTTCCTTCCTTCCTTCCTTCCTTCCTTCCTTCCTTCCTTCCTCCCTCCCTCCCTCCCTCCCTCCTTCCTTCCTTCCTTCCTTTCTCTCTCCCCTTTCCTTTTCTGTGCTAATACTAGGGCTTGAACTCAGAACTTGAGTGCTGTTCTTAGCCTTTTCACTCAAGGCTAGCACTCTATTATTGGAGCCACTTTTGATTTTTCAATGGTTAATTGGAGATTACAGTCTCGTAGACTTTCCTGGCTTCAAACCTGGAGTCTCAGACCTGAGTAGCTAAAATTACAGGTGTGAGCTACTGGTGCCCAGCTCAGAGTTGGCTCTGAAAGCAGAGAAAGACTCATACTCTAGTATTAGAACCAGGCCATTAGAACCAGAGATCCTCGATGACACCTGCTCCCAGGGGGAGAGTGACATCAGAGAAGGTAAAGGACTTACTCAACACCACCCTCCTACGACCAGGTCCTGCACCTCTCCAGCAAGGAGGGAGTGCCAGGGTAGGTGATGGAGGATTGAAGGATGGTTGTGCCTCTTATACCTCCTTCCCTCCTTCTTCCCCCCTCCCTCCCTCCTCTCCTCCCCCCCCACACCCCACATAGGACCAGGAGCTGCTTTGCATGTTCCTTGTTTGCTAAACAAAACTAAGCCAATATCAAGACTTCAGCCACTTTTGCAGCGGGGTGTGGAGCTGAGCTGTGAAGGGCAAGTTCCTTGTCATGGGCTGAGGTTGGGAAAGATCAGGCTGGGCTGGGGAGGACCAAGGCTACCTCCTGGGCCTGTGGCCCATTTGCATACTGCAGAAGGGGGCAGGTGTGTGCAGGTATTCAGAAGTGTGGAGGCAGATGCAGCCCAGGCTGAGGCTGGGTGGGGCAGGACTGGAGGGTCCCAGGAGCTCAGACTCTCATCTTGTGGCTGCTGGGCCCCCAGGGGCTGCTGCAGGATGGCTTCCACACGCAGAGCCCTGGGAGAATTCTCCACAGACGCCCCATGTCCTTCGCCACACAAAGCTGTACCTGTCACCTGGGGACAGGTGCAGTGGGTACCTCCCACCGGCTGCGATTTGAGGGGAATTCAAGTCCCTGATTCTCCACTTCCTGTTGGCACCTGCTGGCTTCCTAGCTGGCCTCCATCAGTGACCCAGAAGGCGTGATCCTGCCCTGTGAACTCTGCCACTTCCTTTGGCCACACAGGGCCCTGAGGTCCACAGAGAGGAGGTGCTGGCCCAAGGTCACAGTAGCAGCTGGGCCATGTCAGGCCCATCCTGTGGCCTTCCCACTTGGGCCACTGGGCTGCCTGGCACCGGTAAGTTCACCAGTGTCAATGTGGTGGTACTGCTTGAGGCAGCAGCACCAGGCCCTCGGCTCTGAGTCTCGAGGTGCCCCTCCCCAAACAGGCCTCATCTCAGCACAGGGTGGGCCTTCTGTGGAAATCACTAACAAGGATGGAAATGCCTGGGACTGTGTGTGACTGGCTCAGCCGGCTCTGGCCTGCCCTTGCTGGCAGGAGTACATTGGTGGGCAGATGGGGTGAGCCGAGATGGACAGGAGGCCGGAATGGGGTGCTAGGCAGAAGAGGAGGAAGTGATGAGCAGTAGGTTCTGTTTGTTTTTGTCAGTCATGGGGACTGAATTCAAGGCCTGGGTGCTGTCATTGAACTTTTCTACTAAAGGATAGAGCTCTACCACTTTGAGCCCCAGTTCCACTTCTGGTTTTCTGGTGGTTAATTGGAGACAGACTTTCCGACGCAGGCTGGCTTCAAACTGTGATCCTCAGATCTCAGCCTCCTGAGTAGCTATGATTACAGGCGTGAGCCTGGCTTGTTTGAAGTAGGGTCCGGGCTGGGAATGTGGCTTGGTGGTGGAATGCTTGCCTAGCATGCATGAAGCCCTGAGTTTGATTCTTCATTACCACATACACAGAAAATGCCAGAAGTGGTGCTGTGGCTCAAGTGGTAGAGTGCTAACCTTGAGCACAGAGAGGTTCAGGGACAGAGCCCAGGCCCTGAGTTCAAGTCCCAGGACCAGGGGGGAGGGGAAGGGGGAGAAGAAGTAGGGTTTTGTGTTATCAATTAGAAAGTTTCTTTAGAAGTCAGGTGTGCTCCACCCTACTGCCCAACAAGAGCCCCAGGCAGTGCTGGTTATTAACCCAGCCTCCACCCTTGTGGGTGATCCTGGTCCCTAATC